CAGCAGGAAGAGGAGCTCACATCATAGCTTCATGCCCTCATCTTAAGGGTATGGAATGTTGAAATCCCAGAAAACCTCAGGGACACCATGATTGTGACAATCTTCAAGAAAGGAGACAAGTCTGACTGTGGAAACTACATAGGGATTGCCCTGCTGTCCACCACAGGAAAGATCAGTGAGAACCCTCCTGAACTGTCTTCTTCCACTTGCTGAAGAGCTCCTCCAAGAATCTCAATGTGGGTTTAGTGTAACAAGAGACACAACTGACATGATCTTCACAGTTTGCCAGCTGCAGGAGAAACTCAACATAAAGCTCTCTACATGGCCTTCTTTGACCTCACAAAAAGCTTTTGACTCTGTCAGCCAAGATGTTTTGTGGAAGATCCTTCTGAAGTATGGACGCTTACCAAAATTTGTCACCGTTTTCTGCCTCCTCCAAGATGGTATGCAAGTGGTAGTTCTCAGTAATGAATATGTCACAGAGCCTTTTGAAGTTAAAATGAGAATTAAACAAGGCCGCATTATTACTCCAACACTCTTCTCAATGTTCCTTGCCAGGATGCTACATCTGATCACCAAGAGGCTTCCAGCCAGAGTAGAGTTAAACTATTGAATGGCTGTTAAGCTATTTAACTTCAGCCAACTCTTAGCCAAAAGCAAGACCACCCCAGCTTCATTCATTGACCCCCAGTACTCTGATGATGCTGTAGTGTGTGCTCACTCAGAAGCAGACCTTCAGGCAATTGTGAACATCTTTACTGAGGCAAACAAGAAAATGGGACTGACACTTAACATTCAGAAGAGTAAGGTCTCCCACCAACAAGCTCCTAATGAACAGTCCACAGCTCCAGTAATCCAGATACACAGTGAGACTCTACAGTTATTCTTGTACCTGGGAAGCCATCTCTCACCAAAGGCTGCTATTGACGAAGAAATCCAACATCACCTCAAATGTGAAAGTGCAGCCTTTGGACACCTGAAGAAATTGGTGTTCAAAGATTGTGACATCGTATCCAAAACCAAGCTCAGGATTTATCAAGCAGTCAAGATCCCCACCTTGTTGTACATAGCTGGGACATGGACAACGTACAGGAGACATCTATAGTTGTTGGAGAAGTACCATCAATGCTGCCTGTAGAAGATCCTCCGAATCCAGTGGGAAGACAGATGCACCAACATCAGCGACCCCCTGCAAGCAAACATTATGAGTATTGAGGTGATGATCATCCGACATCAACTTTGTTGGACCGGCTATGTCATCCAGATGTCAGACTCCAGACTCCTGAAGTAAGTTTTATTCTCCCAGCTCAGCCAAGGTGTATGCTCAAAAGGAGGGCAGAAATACTGCTTCAGGGATGTCCTCAAGGCCAACTTAAGAAAAAGCAACATTGATGTCAACTTGTGGGAAACTATCGCTGAAAACTGCCCCAAATGGAGAAAGAGTCTGCTGCAGGGATCTCAGTACTTTGAAACCTCACGACAACAATAGAAGATGGAAAAGCAGCAGTGGCAGCAGCAGACACAATATGTTGTGGACCAAATAAAGAATCCAGCACCACCCATCCCACATGGAAACACATGTCTGAGCTTCAGTAGAGTCTATCAATCCTGGATAGGCCGCATCAGCCATCCTGGACAGACAGATAAGACAACCATGGAAGACAATCATCCTCGAATGTGAGGGATTGCCGAAGAAGATGGGAAAGAAACAAAGGAAAACAAAAAGAACCAAGCAGATAAGTTAGAACTATTGATTGGCACACCTACTATCACAAGATTAAGTAAAGTATATGGGAACTCAAAGGAATAGAAAAGATACATTATGGGACCTTAGCACCTTCCTGTTGTAAGAAGTGGAGGTGACCATCAAAATGCAGGGAGTTGCACAGGAACCCATATATTAGGCTTTTCCATTTCTACCCAAGAGCTGCACTGAGTTTCCACACATAGGATCAGATTGGGTGAATGGATCATAGCTGCTTGCTTCCCTCTGGGGACAAGCATGTTAGGACCAGCTGAAGTTAGTAGAACTCCAAAGGAAGTTTTAGGAGTACTGTGAATGGAAAGACGTTTGGAAGGGTAACTCTACGTATAATTAGAGTTTCCTTTTAGAGTCTAGTCACAAAATCTCTGAGGTCTGTAGGCTGTGACCTCTCCCCATCCATTCCTAGGGACTGCACTCAGAGGAAACTCCACTCGTGCAATTACCAATGTTGTCTCTCCTCTCTGTGGCTGCATCCACGTGTGTACGTATGTTTGGTTCCCCGAGGACACCTAGCAGCAGTGCACCTTGTGCCGCTGCTAGTTGTCCCCAGGGAATGCCTATGCCAGGCACTCTCTGGCTTACAAAAGGCCAACCCAGGTGGGGTAGGGGAAGCTGGGGCCAGCACAGTGCTGGCCCTAGTAGCCTTACCTGAGGTCCTGGGGGCCTGCCAGGGTTGCAGCAGTGGATATCTAGGACTCAAAAGAACCTCCCATGCTGCTCCCTTACAATGCAGAGAACAACTGAAGATGCAGTATGTCTGTAGCACCACATACCGCAGCCTCACTCATCTGGATGCGGCCTCTGAGTTGTACTGTTTGAAATGGATAATACAATATGGCCATAAACAATTTGACCCAATCCTTAGAACTGGTAATAAATGTAGATATTGACCTTACATTTGTTATACTTGACTGCAACCCTACTCTACAGAACACCTTTGAGGTATAATAGACTGGGAAGGTTATGTCAGAAATACTACACTTTGATCTGGTTCCATGTTAATATGATTTAAAATCCAAGGCTTTTTTTCACCCAGTTTTGATAGATTATATTAATATTTCCTTCCATGTCTAACGGGGAGAAAACTCTCTTAATATTGTGCTAGAAATATTTTCTCCAGCTGGGACATTGGTTGGTGAGAGGAAGAAATGAAATATCTGGGTAATCATGGCTGCCAGACACTGTACTCTGGTAAAGAGCCATATAAATAGGAATAGAGAAAGATATGAACAGGAATGGCTTTAACTCTGGGACGATGAGAACAAGAAACTAAAATTGATCCATTCAAATTATGTATTTATATCTTCAAACCTGGACAGGTGACCCAAGCCCCCATCATGGCTCCAGGGAGATGCTGGTGCCCGGCCTGCCCCTGCTGGCACTCAGCAGATGGGCTCCTTTACCTGGGTCCCAGCCCCTGGCATCCCTAGCCTGGCCCAGAGGTCCCTTCCAGTCTTGGTTCTCTATGAGTCTCTGATTCCTGTCACTGACAGAGCAGCTGGGGGAGAGAGGGAGGGGTAACAAACTTGAGCTGAACAAATTGGAGCTATTTGGTAACAAATTAGAGCTGAACCAGCTCCAATTTGTTACCAAGTCAGAGCTGATTGGATTTGAAACCTCAGACACAATCCACTCTCGAGGATTTGATTCGAAGCTGGATATGAAAGCACCATCAGATGTTTTTCTACATCCAGTCCCTAAAACCAGAAAGAAAAGAATCTAAGGGTTCAACTTGACACTTAAGCATCAGGTGTTTAAAACTCAAGCAGCCCCACACTGAAGCAGTTTAGCAGGTGTCCTTTTAGGATTAAAATTCGTTCCCTTTCAGAGGAGGATTATCTCCTTAACCTCTACTAAACTGTAATATGTTACTACAACCCAATGATTTGCAACTGTTGCAAGCGAACATGTGTCAAGGCCCTAAGTAGAGCTTTATTTCCCAATGATGCCCTAGCTGGCATCTTTTTCCTAAACCCAGCAGATGGCCCCCAAACCAGGACGAGTAGTACCACTCTTTATGAGAGCATATGACTGGCATCAGCTGTTTCTTCTATTTGTGCAGAGTTTGCCAAGTGCACTGATGTTGCTTAGATCTGGAAACAGTCAATACTTAATATTCTGTAGCCAGCAAAGTAGGTGCACTAGATCACATGCAGTTCTGTTAACTCTTTTGGAGTGTCTTAGGGACTCTGTAAGACTTAGTTTTGGACTGTTTTAAAGCAGGAATATAAAAAAGTAAAGGATATGCCAGTACCCAGCTGTATATCCTGCAGCCACGATTCTCCTATAGCTAGTCATGCGTTTTGATGAGTTTCCCTCTCCCCCATTTAGCAGAATGCAGTGCTAGCAAAAATAACAAGGCTTCTCATTATGATATTCTGTATTCATACCTCAAATCCCTGTGGTCTTCCTAGACTTTCTTTAATACGTTTCCACGCAACAAGAATCTCTGATACAGACAAACTTGTAGCTTTGACATCGAAAGGAGCAGCACTGGGTTCTGTATTAAGAAAAATTGAAATAATAAACCTCCACTGTAACAACTTGTATCTATCAAAAGCACCAGAACTAAAACTGTCATACACTTCTCTTGTTCTACCTTGCTGTTCAGAATGAAGTGTTGCAGTTATGGTGAATAAGTGAAACTGAGCAAGATAAAAATATTAGCTTTATTGTGTTTTTGTATTTGTGCCAAGTCACATCAATATCTTATTAGTGACAGACCCAGGAAGATACGCAATGAAGAATATCCTTTCTATGTGCTGGCTGATTTGTCTTTGAAAACCTTTAATTCTTATTGACAATAGCCTTTCTCCCAACAGTAAACCATCACTAGCAGTTCTGCTTGACTGCAGAAGTAAACAGAGCATCCTTTCTCTTCCTTATTCTGTACTGCTACTTAATCAGTTAAAAAATGAACACTACCTGGGATATTTTTGAGTTATGCCATAGACCGAGAAACCCACTATCATGTCTAAAATGTAAGGCAAATTCACATTTAAGGGTGTGTCCACATTAAACCCTGAAGCTGCTGGCATCTTTGTCTGGAACCAGCAATCCTTTCTTTGTTACAAAGGTCTATATGCTGGTCCCAGCTTCACATCTTACCAGGCACTCACCGCTGAGCTATACCTTCTCCCTGACATTCTATTCTTCAATTTTTTCCCTTTCCTTTTCCTGTCAAGATTTCAAATGTGTTAAATTTTTTGTGTCATTTTTTAAAACCTACGCCCAGAAAAAGGCTGTATCTACCAGACCTATACAGGCTTTCCAACAAAGAACAGAACTTTGTGTTTCTAACTAGCTTAACTGCTAAGATATTTTACCCCGTACAGTAAAATAAGGAAAAGCTATAAAAATGCTGGGTTAGTCAACAGCAAGAGGAAAGTTAAGAAAAAAAAAATTGGGAAAACAAATATTGGAAGCTGTAGTGACAACCAACAGATACATTATTTACATTGTCCTTTTGGTCTACAGCAGGGGTGGCCAACCTGCAGAATGTGCACATGGCACATAGTAGACAAAGAAGGGGTAAAGCAGCACAGTGGCAGATGGGGCAGGGAGCAGAAAGCAGAGCAACAGATCAGGCAGGGAGCACAGGGCAGGGAGCAGGAAGTAGAGGAGCAGATCAGACAGGGGAAGGGGATTGGGTAGGCAGGGTTAATTTGTGTCACACTTGCCAGAAAATTTGGCCAACACTGGTTTGCATCATGTGCTGCCTCCAGTACCCCACCTGGGGTAACTTGCCACATGCCAGAGCACGTGTGGCATTGGCGTTCCCTGGGGACAAGTAGCAATGACACAAGGCGTGCCGCTGCTACTTGTCCCCAGGGAAAAAAGGCTGCGCTCATCTGGACACACCCTGTGAGTGCTAAGGGTCTGCAAAACCTCTTAGACATCACTTAAGTTGGATTTTAGGAAAGTTTATCTTATTGTCTACTTATTTATTTTGCTTTGAAATTAAGAAGATCTCCCTCATGTATGTTTAAGTGGGAATCTAGAACTTAGTGAGAACGCAATACCTCCAAACACCACCTCCTTGGCATGTTTGTGTGTTCAGCAAAAAGGTGGATTCAGATTCATCTGGACTAACAGGGCTTGACATTTCTTTCTAGGTCTAATGTACCTTTATTATATTTATGAACTGTTAATCCAATCTTATAGCTTTTATATTCTAAGGATGCACATCAAAGAGTTTTTTTAAAAGATGTGTTTTGTGGCTGATTTAGCAGATTTACAAAAAATGGAGCTTCCTTTTGGCACAATATGTGTTAAAATTATACATTTGCCTATTGATTAAACTGTCTTAGTAAGGAGTTTAACATTAATCTTGATACACTATTTTTGGGGTTTTTTTTAATCTTTCTCTCTCCTCCACATTACACAAGGTATTCTACCACTGACCTACACCTTCTCTTCAATGTTCTTTTCTTTTCTTTTTTTCTTTTCTTTTGCTGTAAAGATTTGAATTTTTGGTAGTTTTATTTTTGTCTTTTTTTTTTTTTTAATATAACCCTAGAGAAAATGAGAATTTCTGACTTTATTCAAAATGACTCACATGAGGGTTATTAATACATATAAAATAAACTGATCTTTTAAGATGTCACAAATAACACAAATTATAATATTCACAAAGCATACATGATTTGATCCAGTTTCGATAAATTTTGTGCTACAAAGTAATATATTCTGCATGATATGATTTTTTGTACAGTTGGTGCACACTGCTTTTTTATTTTGTGTACTACAAAGATTTGTGCAGCAAAAGCTATTTTCTAGTTTTTATATTATTGAAGCAATTACCTTGTTGTCAGAGAAGATTGCAATGGGATAAATAATTTGTGATGTACCCAAAACGTTGGTTGGCAGCCTTTACACTTTCTATAAATGTAGAAATCATTTCCCCTTCATTGCATTCACTAGGGGAGGTTTATGTATTGCTCAGCTACATAAAGGCTTTTTTGTATTTTTGTATTTTTAATAAATTGTTTTTAGCAAATGGAGTAGAAATAGTTTATTTTTATGTGAGACAAATACATTTCTTACATATCCAGCAATTATTCACTGCAATTTCCCTGATATTAGGCACCAAGAATGTAAATGTTCAGCAAAAGAACAGAAATTATATTTTTTAGGAAAAAGGTATATTACGACTGCCTGAAAGTTTATGGAGATGAAATGGCATTTTTTATTGATTCAGATAGGTTGAAGGCCATATAATTTGTGCTAATATAAAATAGTTCAGGGCTCCGTACCATGTCATGCTTTATATTGTGTGTCTAGTACTGATGATAAGTTTGATGGGTTCATTAGGTTTTTCCATACTGGTCACTGGTGTTATGGCTATATTTTTTTATTAATATCTTGGTATTATTTTACATTTACTGATATTTTCCTGGGGGTCACACTGATGAAAAAGGTCAATGCCTTTAATGATCCCTTTAACATTACCTGATCACATTTTAAAAAAGATGATAAAACCTTGAGAGGCTTTGTGCTATGTCCTGAGGATGCTGTTTTCCACTTGCCACAACTATGGTTTACAGTAGCACATTACACTATAGAAATTTAGAACACTAACTTCTAATCCAGAACAGGGAACTGTAACTTGATTTCAGAGATAGGATCCTGAATTCTGTTATTGGTAGATGATGCTATGATATTCCCTCTTTCTAATACTAGTTTATATTTATTTGTTATGATAAGATGGTCAGTCACCTCCCAAGATTTCAATGTCACCTGAAAAAACCCAAACCCAGGCCTGCCTGGACTAACACAATACTGATCCTTTAAACCCAGGCCACAGGTAGGCTCTATGCAGCCTATCCCAATTATGGTTAAGTCTATGCCTATATCTTATAATTTATCTGGAATCTTTAACAATGATTAATTTATTCCACTTCATTTTTAAGTTTTGGATCTGTCCACTGAATAAAAGCATTAGTTCTGAAGGGTAGTTTGATGAGGGGAATGGAACAACCAAATGCAATTCTGCCGTTTCTTTCCTCTCACTCCAAAGGATAGCAGTCTGCTGATACATGTGCTGCAAAAGAAGCTACTTTTACCCTATGAAGATATTAATTAGATGGCAAATTGGTTTCTTACTTGGGCGCATAGTTATAAAATGGAGAGGCTGACTGATAGAATTCAGGTTCTGTTAGATTAAAAGTTCTGAGTGGCATTTACCATGTCCATGAATATAAATGATACATTTGTAATAAGAGACATAACAGCTGGAGTTCTCCAAATAATATGCAGGGGCTTGCCTATCATATTGATTACACATATACCTTCCCAGGGGGGGTTAGTGTAGTGTTAATCAAAGAAAGGTTTAATATACTCCTTCATATACAGATTTGGATTTCATTTTTAAAAAATTCAGTGAAGACAACTATAATTGATGGATTTGCTGGCAAAGGTAGGAAGTTAGCCCGTATATTTTAAAGCTAATATGCCGATTTATTAATTTTCAGGTTCACCTAAATCCCATGAAGCTCAGCTTTAGCTACAAAATCATCCACAGAACAGTACCTCATGAATGTAAGATTTTAATTTGAAACCTGGCAGCTATGTTTAAAAATGTGTAATTGCATATTTTTTCTCATAAATGAGAAGAAAGGGGTGATTTGTTTATTCATTTAAGCTGAGAGTGAAAAACCAAGAGAATTGGAACCAAGAAGAAACATTTTTCAGTGTTTGTTTTGGCCAACATAATTTCAGTCTCATCACATCATACATTTTCCTGTCTTCCTTAACTGCTTTTATCGAGCCTTTAAACAGGTCAAGCAGTAAAACTCTGAGAGTTTTGATGTCACTCTAAAATATGCCACCTTCCATTTCTCTCCTCAAAATAACTGTCCATTTAGGTTCTGTACTTGATTGAGTGAGTTAATAAAAAGTTATGTTGAGTACAGAAAACATCGTTGTAAAAGTAATTTTCATTGTACACTGCAGGCTCACCTACATGTGTACTTTATTACAGCTGACTAATTAGCTCTGCAGTAAAGGATCACCATCTACACGTGTACCAATATTAGGCTGCAGTAAACTAATTAACTGCACGCTAAGATAGTACTGCTGGGGAAAGTACTATTTTATGGCAGAGTCATTAAGTACAATCAAATGCACATGTAGATGATGACTGCCAGGCGCAAATCACACCTGGTCAGCCCAGCCCAGCCATCCAGGGGCCAGAACCCTGCCAGTCCCGACGCTGCCTGATACCGCCACCCAGAACCTGGGGCAGATGTTCCCTGCTCTTTGCTAGCCCAGGGCTGCTCCACCCTGGCTCCAAGTGCTGTGGTCCTGGGCACACATGTAGACACTGCACCTGGGAGCAGTGTACTCCAGCTCAAAAAGCTTTAGAGTTTATTGCATTGCATGAATTGCACATGTAGACGTACCATACGTTTCGTGCAGCAGCACCTAGCAAGTTGCCTCAGGGATTGAAGCCCCAGAGTGCAAGCTGATTTATATTAAAAAATAGCAAAAATTAGCATC